AGCAGTTCTTGGCCAGGAGCAGGGAGTTTGGTACACAAGTTATGCTGTTCGGACAGAAGGATCTTCAGCTGCCAGAAGGAAAGAAGTCTAGCATTCTTTCGGTTGTAACAAGGAGGGAGTTCGGCAATCCCTCTCCTAACCGTAGCCTGTAGGCTCTTCCATCCAGGAAGAACAATCCCTTGACATTTCTTATTTGGCAATTCCAATATTAAAGATCTTTCTTATCCAACTCAATCCATAGGAGTTCTTTGAAACATTTCAGGTGTTCGGCGGGGCGAGTCTACAACAAAATACATAGGAATTTGGTAGTATGGGTAGTATGTATGTAAATATGTAAATGCCCCTAAAACCTTTTGTACAAGGCTATTTGTTGTTAGCGTAAGATCTTGAACTGACCATATTGTGGTATTAAGTTGATGATTTGCTAAGATTTCTCGTGTAATTGACATACCAACAATTAAACCCAATTTTGGTGAATAGTAGCTAAGGTTTTGTTAGTACGTCAGTTGTGAGTACTCCCAACAACTTACACAATGTGGTGATAAAGTTCAAATGTTGACTAGTTCTAAAGATAATATTATATTTGCTCCATTGAGTTTGAAACTTTAATTAGGAATTCTAGAATTGGGTGACAAGATAAGAAGAAGAAAAAAAATTGATTGTTTGCAGGAACTACATTGGGAATGGAAGAAAAATCGAAAGGGCACTGTGGAGTAAGTTAATTTATGCTTGAAAGGTTAATGATACAAATGAGTTTGAGATAACTATAGATATATAATTTCAAGGATAATATATTAAGGTGACTAGGTTTGATGATAGGGCGATTGATATCCATGGTGATTGTCCAAATTGGTTAGTACTTATGCTCTATACATTTAACTAGAATGTCTAATTTGAAAAATTAATTTTAAGATGTGGTAAATAAAATATTATAATGCATACTTAAAGAGCAATGATTTTGATTCGGGATTTCTTAAAATATATATATATATATAATATATATATAATTTCTATTAGGAGGGGGGTATGTCAGAATTTTTTATGGGCCTGTACTAAGAGTGAAACTAAAGGGAGAGGCTGTATTTGATTTGCAATAGCAAAATGGGTGCTGCCAAATCACGGATATATTATAAAAATTCTGATATTATTTTAAGAGAAAGTTGATCACACAACAATAAAAAATAGTTATGGATGTATATATATATATATATATATATTTCTTTATTTGTTTTTATAATTTTGTTTCCCTTTCATGTAGCAAATATGTTGATATGGATACCTTCCCTAGGTAATTTTGTTATTGTGTACATATCCATGCAGTTCTTACTGTAGATTGGTGATTTTTAAGTGTTCCAGTTGTGATTGAGGTATTCAAGCCCAATTTCTGCGATGTTGTGTCAGATGTTGGTGTTTAAACTCTAAGGCTTGCTGCTTCCTCATTTTTTGATATTGTTAGGGTCAAGGGTTCCCCAAAGTCGATCATATTTTCTAACTTATATTTATTCTTTCATCTCGACATAAATTAGAATTAGCACAAGCCCACCACTATCCTTGACGATAAACTTGCTCTCATTTCTTCTGAGGTAGATATCTCAGAGGCAAAAATCTCTATTCAGGCAGCTCTAATTTCTGAAACTCTATTTGAAAAAAAAATTATTTGGTTGCCTAAGCTTGGAGATTATTTGATTCTTCCCATCCGATCACCATTCTACTCTATTAGTCTTCTTGATAGGTGCTGCATGCCTATTGGAATACCTTGCATGTAGATTATTGTAGACTTTTTTTGAGGCATTTATATTATATGAATGGCTTATAGATTTTTTTTGTTGAAATGGCATTTTTTTTTTTCAATTTTGTGGATTCTCCTATTACTCTAAGTTGGTTTGGTTTGAAGTTGGATCTTATAATTTTTCTAGAGCCGTATCTAGCACAATATTTTATCAAACTATTGAGGATCTTGTTGCTATTCAGCTTATTTCTTCTCCATTCCTGCTATAGCTGTTTCCACCAATGCTACAGCTGATTTGAAGTGAAGATCCATGTTAATTCTAGCTCAGTTCAGTCTCAAGAATCTATCAGAAGTTTTGTTGACTTAGTGGATACAAGATTTTAGATGGATGGTGTTTTCTTGTCCGATAATTTCAGATTCTAGACTTTGTATTTGTTAGGTATGACTCATATACCATAAATGAGACAGATGCTGAAGCGGAGTGTAGCCCACGTAGCCCACGAGTGGAGTGGAGTGGAAGGATCTGTCCAATCGGGGGAGTTTCATTATGTGGGTTGGGAGTGCGGAGGCAACATCCTGTTGTTTCGTACATGGGTAATTTAAGTAATTACATATTGTACTATATGGTTATATATATATATCATGTCTGTAACCATATGCGAGCTGAATCTTGTATTATGTACTCTTTTTTGAATATTGAAAAAGAAGTCGCCACTTTTCTCTTGAGAATGTAGGCATCTTTGCCAAACCTCGTAAATTTCTATGTGTTCTTCTGGATTTGTGTCGATTCATAGTTTTTCTTCGCCCTAATTTCTCAACAAGTGGTATCAGAGCGAGATTTTAGGGCAGAGAAGAAAAATTTCGGCGGCGCAAGAATAAAGAAGATTTTGGCAGATGAGTTTTGGCGGCTAGGAGTTCGGTGAATTTCGGGGCTTCAGCGATTCGGCGAAGAACTTTGGCGGTTCGTGGTAGATTGTTGGAGCAGGCAGTTCTAGGGAATGAAAGAAAAATTTCAGTGGCGTAGGAATAAAGAAGATTTGGCAGAGGAGTTTTGCGGCTAGGAGTTCGGTGAATTTTGGGGCTTCAACAATTCGACGAAGAACTTTGGCGGTTAGCGGCAGATTGTTGGAGCAGGTAGCGAGGAGTTCGCGAAGGGCGCGAATCGCACAGAAGGTCAGTTTGCGAAGGCAAAGCTGAAGGCGTTCGCGGGAAGTTGGCAGACGGAGGCGCGAAGGATTGTTCGCTGGAGATTGCTGCCAACGCAGGAGTCTTCGAAGGCGAAGCCGAAGGCGGTTCGCTGCAGGCTGTTCGTCGGAGGAGAATCTAGGAATTTTCCATCTCCACCAGAGGGAATATTCCCTCTAAAACAAGGGAGGAGCTCGCTGCACGCGAGAATTCGTGGAAGGAGTTTTGCGCGGGAGTTCCGCGCCGATGCAGACATTTGCGCGGGAGGCGTTTGCGGGATTCGGTTTGGAGGGAGCGGCGGAGGAGCAGAATTGGAAGGGCAAACGCGGGAAAAGAAAATTCATGCGGAAAAGGAAAGTCCACGGAGAAGGAAATTTAGCACGGAGATATTTTAGGACTCGTGAAAGGTAAGGAAAGGGAATCTGCTGCTGTACTCGGGAAATGAAATATTTCTTTTTGGAAGGAAAGCGAAGGCGGAGCTTTTCTTGGAAGTTTAAGGAAAAGGACTTCTAGGAAAGTTTAATTAAGGGAAAGTCTTTTTTTCTGGGAAACTTAACTAAGGGAAATACTTAATTAAGAAAACTTAATTAAGGGAATTTTTTTTCTGGGAAACTTAACTAAAGGAAATACTTAATTAAGAAAACTTAATTAAGGGAATATTTCAATCATTTTTTGGAAAGATTCTGTTGTTTGTCTGGAAAATCTTGTTGCACGCGGAGATTTTTCATGACGCAGGAATGACAAGGAAAGAAAATCTGTTGCTGCACTCGGGAAAGGAAAGATTTCTTTTTGGAAGGAAAGCGGAGGCGGAGTTTTTCTGAAAGGAAAGCGGAGGCGGAGTTTTTCTGAAAGGAAAGCGGAGGCGGAACTTTTCTAGAAGGAAAAATGAGCTTTTCTGGAAAGCAGATGCGGAGCTTTTCTTGGAAGTGTAAGGAAAAAGATTTCTGGAAAAATTTAATTAAGGAAAAGTCATTTTTCTTGGAAACTTAATTAAAGAATCTTAATTAAGGGATTATTTAAAATTGTGGCCCAACCCATATTGGTGCACTAGAAACTTAATGATATATTTCTCCTAAGGGGTTGGATATTCGCCAAGGCGGAGATTTCTTAGGTATGACTCAGGTGGAGATTTCTTAGGATACCAGAATTTGGAGTCTATTTGGAGTCTCTTAAAATGAAGAGATGTCTCATGGAATTGAATAAGAGTGTCTCTTGAAATTTAGTGAATTGATGGGAGTGAGGGCGCAGCGGAAGCGTGGTGGCCCAACCCACACTAGTGCATAAGAAACTTCATGATATATTTCTCCTGAGGGGCTGAATATTTGTCAAGGTGGAGATTTGTTAGGCATATGTATTTCTACTCCATGATATATTTCTCCTAAGGGACTAGATATTCACTAAGGTGGAGATTTGTTAGGCATATATATTTCTTCTTACTAAGGTGGAGATTTGTTATGCATATATATTTCTTCTAAGGGGTTGGATATTCACCAAGGTGGAGATTTGTTAGGTATGACTCATATATCATAAATGAGACAGATGCTGGAGCAGAGTGGAGCAGAAGGATCTGTCAAATTGAGGGAGTTTCATTATGTGGGTTGGGGGTGCGGGGGCAATAACCCACGGTTTGGTACAGGAGTAATTTAAGTATTTACATATTGTACTATATGGTTATATATATGTTCTGTCTGTAACCCTAGGCGAGCTGAATCTTGTATTCTGTACTCTTTTCTGAATATTGAAAAGAAAGTCGCCGCTCTGTTCTCGAGGATGTAGGCATCTTTCCCGAACCTCGTAATTCTCTATGTGTTCTTTTGGATTTGTGTCGATTTTTAGTTTTTCTTCGCCCTAATTTCTCAACAGTATCTGAATGTCGGCATGCTCCACTCCCTCTCAGATAGTTGTCCACTCACTCCATGCTATTTTTTTCTTCTTTTTTTTTTAATCTGTCTCAACCATTGAAAATGTGAAATGGTTTTCTCTAACTGTTTCTTTGGAATACTGTCATGATCATGAATTGAAGTTTAGCTCTTCTTATTGAATTTATAGTTAAAATGTCATCTTTCTAACCTTTGCTTTTCAGCAGGTTGCAGAAGTAGGCTTGCTTCTGGGCAGGGCTGGCAGTGTAGGTTTTGGTAAGGCTGTAGAGGTTTTGGACACGATCAGCAGTAGTGTGACAAGTTTGAACACCAACAGTGGTTTTTCGTCAGGGGTGGCAATGAAAGGAAATAAAATTTCTATTCTGGCTTTTGAGGTGGCTAACACAATAGTTAAAGGAGCCAATCTGTTGCATGCACTTTCAGAAGAAAATACGAGGAATTTGAAGGGCGTGGTGCTTCCGTCAGAGGCAGTTCAAAATTTAGTTTCCGAAGACATGGATGAGTTGTTAGGAATTGCTGCTGCTGACAAAAGGTTCATTGGCGAGTCATCATTTATGTTATTCTAATGGGCTGGTTTCAAAGTTTATTAAAGTTTGACTTTCTGTAGAGGCTGAAATGAAACAGAGGGGGCATTTACATACATAGCACGCAATTCTTATTTATTTACATATCTCACACCTAAACTTCCATATTTTACATCTATACCACTCAAATCTTTAACATCACATCAAAAATACCACCATCCTTCCTTTTTTAAAAGTGGAATACACATTTTTATGCATAGGTTTATGACAACAAGGTATTGTAAATGTAAATATCAAACTTTAGTTGTTAGATATGTAAATACATAAGAATTATGCGGCATACATGTAACTTTCGAAAACAACAAACCTTTATCCTACTAAGTGGGGTCGGCTACGCGAATCAATTTTCTTCATTGTGTCTTATTGAGATATTTTTATTTTATTCTAATAAATTGAGATCATTTTGTATGCAACATTCAAAGTCTTTCTAGGTCTACCTCTAACTTTTGTATCATAAGTTTAATCTAAAACGTTTACTCTCCTAACTGGGTCATCAGATTGCCGACGTTTAATCTAAACAAACCTTTTAAAACGACTCTCTAATCTTATTTGCTACTGCCTCCTTCAACCCTTTCATGGATATGTTTGTTTGACATTTTATCTCTAGTATAAACTCACTCATCCACCCGAGCATTCTCATTTGAGCAACACTTAATTTTATGCTTCTCTTTTAAAGGCCAACATTTTGCACCATAAAACATTGTAGGTCTCACCACTATCTTATAATCTTATAAAATTTTTCTTTCTAAGCAGCACTTTTCTATCGTACAATGGGCCTGATGTATTCCTCCACATCAACCATCCTACTTCAATTCTACTAATAAATTCTCCATCTAGATCACTATCACTTTGAACAATAGACTTGAGATATCTAAAGCGTTTACTCTTTTTAATGCCTTGATCAACCATTTTTACAGCCCCGCTAATAGATCTATTATTATTAAAGTTATATTCCAGTTATTTAGTTTTATATCTGCTCAAACGAAAGCCTTTAGACTCTAGTTGACCTCCATAATTCAAGTTTTTTTTGAACTCTTTCTAGTTTTATCCACAAGAAGGATATCATCCACCAAAGCATATACGAAGGCACAACCTCCTATAAATGCCTAGTAAGAGTATCCCTAACTAAAATGAAAAGATATGAGCTTGATGACGATCCCTGATGTAATCCAACTGAAATAGGAAGACACTTTTGTCAATCCTCTGTATTCCAACACAAGTAACAACTATAGTATACATATTTTTAATGACTTGAATGTAAACAATCTCAACACATTTCGTTTCTAGAATTCTCCAAAGTACTCATGGAACTTAATCATAAGCTTTATCCTCTAAATATACGTAAATTTCCCCAAAAAAAATCTCACCGGTTGAAAAATTAAGGTTTGCTATTTTTTTTTTCCTGGATTATACTTTCTGATACTGATTATGAACTTGTTTGTTTTCATTTTTTTTTATCAGGGATGAGTTGAAAGTGTTTTGTGGAGAAGTGGTTCGTTTTGGGAATCGATGTAAAGATCCTCAGTGGCACAACTTGGATCGTTATTTTACAAAGTAAGCACCGTACATATTCAACCACATTGATTTCACTGGTGTTCGCCAATTATTTAACTAGTTTTCAGTCATTCTAGATTAGGGTCTGAACTCACATCACAACAGCAATGTAAACAGCAAGCTGCAGCAGTTATGCAGCAGCTAATGATTTTGGTTCAATATACAGCTGTAAGTATTTCATTCTAATTTATATAGGTACTTTTGAGTGTTTACAAATCTATGCATTTTGATTTATTTTTTTTGTTTCATTTATTACCTATATTACTGAGGTTTTTATGACTTCATTGATTTTTGTTCTAAAGCAACTAGAATTCTTTTTTCTCTTTTTACATGTTGAGTTTTCTTTATTTTTATGGAAAATTCTTTTTCGCACGTTTATTTTGTTAATACTGAATGGTGTAATGACTATCTTACATCGTGTGGGAGGGAAGCTGTAGCTATGCTCGGTAACTTTAGGTTTCTCTTAGAGCTCCTTTTTGGCTATGCTTGTGTGGATGGCAGGTTAAGGAAATGAAAAGAAATTCCCGTATTTATGGTTAAAGATCCATAATAATAGTGGTCATTTGCTATTCCTAACAATTTGAAGCTGTGTCGCTGGTGGGAATTTGTACGTTTTTATATTGATTGATATTTAATTCATCTTATGTCTTTTAGATATTGAAGAGAGGAGTATTGAGTTGAATTTTGTGTGTAATTTATTGGGGGTCTTGCTTTTCTATTTTTACAACAGGATTTTTTATTATAATTTGTAATTTTAATCTATGAAAACTATTAATTACTTTGAAAATAAAGTAAAATATTACAGTTTGCACACATTTATTACTGAAATTTTCAGAGGGACCTTAACCTTTTGAGGCTCACAGATTTCTAATGATGGATGACACCATATTGACTTGCTTTGCAATTGCATAGGTTGTCAAGTTGAAGACTAGAATTTCCGGTACTTCTTATCTAGGATTATGCATAAATTGGCTTAGAAAACTTACAACATAAGTTATGTTTAGATAAGCTTCATAATTAGCTTTTATTACCTCCCTTTGTCAACTTCTGGGCTATTGCCTGCCTCTCCATGTTTGTGGCACCATTCAGTTGGAAGTCTTGAGAGCTTTCATCCTATCTTACTTGCCTCATTTAGTAGATTGAGATTATATTTTTGTGTGAGATAAATATCCCAACATTTGAGTGGGCCACTCCAATTCCAAGAAAATATTTGACACATTTTTCAAATCTTGGACTTTAAATTCCTTCGATGGTTTTCATTTTTTTTTTTTTTTTTTTTTTTTTTTTGAGATCACGTCATCTAAATACGGTATGAGAATAATAATTTTGCATTTGTTGGATTTTTTATGAAAAGAGTGCTTTTGGATGCTTTGTTTGAATTTATCCCTTTCATTGCTTTTTTGCAATATGATATTTATTATGCATTTAAGTATGAAGTTTTTTATTCTTCTTGGGATCGTTTTTCTGCAGCTTTTGTTGCATGAACATTTTCCGTTAAAGCTATATTTTCCTGCTTGTGATTTCCCTCCTCCAACCTTTTATTCAACGGGGGATTCTCTCTCTCTAGTCTCCTTAAAAAAAAAATGCTAGTATAAGGTTTCTATACGCCCATGTTTGCTCTTTGATGTTTCTAATTGATGGGTTTTCTTTTCCAAATGTGCTTCTATTAAAATTTGGGAGAATCGCGGGGGCGTGGTTTTCTTAAATCTTTTTATGCCGTCAAAATCACTAGCGGAATTAAAACTTTCTTGTAAGTTTTGGCTAAGAGGGCGGGCTTTATTAAATGAGTGGATCTGAATGATCTAGATTTCATGCTAATTGGATTTTTTATTATTTTATTTTGGGTAAAACCTTGCATATGAATTCATTCTACTCATGGATGGCTACTGAATTCTGAAAAAACGTCAGAGATGTTAATCTATTTATGTTGTATTATAATTTTCTATTAATCATTAACATATTTAATTGATTGTTCTATTCTATATTCTTTCACACATTTGGTTATTGAACGCTATTTTTTTTCTTGAGATTTAGTCCATTTCTTGTTGGAGAATCACAGTAATCTTTTGGTAATTCTTTCGTTCTTTAGGAACTTTATCATGAGCTACATGCTTTGGATAGATTTGGCCAAGAATATCGTCGGAAACTCCATGATGAAGAGAATTCAGGCCTAATTCATGGAGGTGTGTTTGACTCTTTTATGTTGTTTTATGAGCCAATATCAAGATTACAGTATTTCTTTTTGATTTACTGAACTGCTTTTGATCTACTGAATTGCTAAGATGGTCGGGATGCTTTATTTTGGTTAAATCTAAGAACCTACCGGAAATTTTCTAGTTCAAGAATTTAATAAGTAGGTTTTTTTTTTAAAATTTGAACATCACGTGGGCCCCATTTGGTTTTGATTCCATTGTCGAAGTCCAGTCACACTTTTCAATGAAACTGATGATGCAGATTTTCTGAAAAAATATGTAAATTTCTAATTTTCAACTATCTTATTACTTTTGGTTTTTAGCATTTGATGTTTAGAAATTCAGAATAAAGCTATATTTTAAATTTTTTTGGGATTGAATTCACGCAGATACTCTCAGTTGAGAAAATGTGTATTTGTTGGCATAAAAGATTGCCTTTTCTTAGATATTTAATTTTTATATATTTTTTAGCAAGTCTAATGGGCTAGTTTAGAGAGCGTTTTGCAAAGATGATTTCTGAACACAATATTCGAAGAAAAGTGGGTAAAAAGACCATGTACTAATAAAATTATAGCTAAATTGTTGTCCTGAGCACCTTCTTGCCCCCAGTCGGCCAATAATTTTGTCCCTGCAAAGAATTTAGGATCAAATTATCGAAATTGACCCTATGTTACAGTATATCTGTTATCAATTGAGCTTAGACCTTAGGAAAAATAAACGCCTATCCCGAACTTGAACTATTTATAAATATAGGATTATGCTATCCTTTCCTCTCAACAGTGATCTCTAATTTTAGGTTTTTTTTTGGAATCATTTATGATCCTATTTCTAAGTATTTATTATTATTATTTTATCATTGGAATATGGATGTTCAAGACTTTTATACTTTGTTTAGATTTGATTGTCCACAGTAAAGCCCGTGGTGATCGAAATATGTTTATTTGATAGCACTAGGAATGTTTCATTGATGGCATTAGAATTTAACCATCTTACCAGATACTATCCCAAAATGAAAATGAAGGCAATTTTTTTTTATGATAGATGGCTGAAACTTAAAGAAAGGCAAGGGCGCTAGTACCAACATCGGTGGCTTAATTATAATACTAAGAATTTCTTATGTTTCTGTGCAAAGAAATATCCACAGTTTTATGCATCAAAGACAACATTTATGTGTTTTACTTTCAACATTCACAAACTGTCTCTCAGAGAATTGTTTCAACATTTTTTAATTTTGGATTTAATGAAATTATAAGCGCATAAAGCAAAGGATAGAATCGGTTCTCAAGAACAAAAGGAGTACCTCAACTCATAGTGGGTTAGAAATGTGCTTCAGTCACTAAATCTCTTTGATCCTTCACCTGTTTTTTTAACTTATCTCCAATTCACTTCCACTGATTCACAATGTAAAAACTCACATAAGAAATGTGGTTATGTTTAGATTTGATTACTAGTTTTATTTATCATCACATTGAAATGTTCTCTTTTTTTGTAATTGTGTTGTTATGAATAATTCTTAGCCAAACATCTTTCATTTTTTTGCAGTTGACAATTGTCAGATTGTCAGGCAAGAACTGAAAAGCCAAGAGAAACATGTGAAAAGCTTAAAGAAGAAATCATTATGGTCTACGAACTTGGAAGAGGTCAGTTATCGCATTTTTCTTTATCCCGTCAAATTTTGCATTTCCATAGTTCATTTTAAAAGAAGTTGCTATTTGTCTTTAGCCTTGTTGCTCTCTCAGTCTTCCCCCCCCCCCCCCCCCCCTTTCCCTTCAATCCACAAGCACATCTATTTATATGCATATGATTTTATGAATACTTGTACGATTGAATAGCATGAATCTATAAGTTTTCCTTGACAAAAAACTATACTGTTTAGCATCTGCTCCTTTTCAGGTCATGGAGAAGCTTCTTGAAATTGCCCATTTCTTACATTTTGAGATTGACGAAGTCTTTGGAAATGCTGGTATTGCTTCTTGAACGAGGATTTTTAGTATTATAAGCATATTTATTTATTTATAATTTTATTAATTTGTTAAATCCATGGCCCTTTTTGATGGTGTTGATATTAGTTTTTTATTCGCTTGTATTAAAATAAAGGGAATTTTTCATTACATATCTCACACGTTAGCTTTCATATTCACATATATAGCACTTTGGTGCTTTAATCTTATGCATGAAAAAGTGTATTCCACTTTAAAAAGTGATAATAGTGTTATTTTTATGTGATATTAACGATTTGAGTGCTTTGTGGGTAAATATGAAATTTTAGGTGGGAGATATGTAAATAAATAAGAATTTTGTGCTATGTATGTAAATGCCCCCTAAATGAAATGCATGATTGAAAATTCACCAAATATACATGCAGTCCTCTATAGAAACATAGCCATGATTGTTTTATCTACAATCATCAAATTCTTGCTGCTATGTTACAAGGAGTTGCTCCTATTTAGAATTTTTAGTTATTTGTGCACAATTTTTTTTTCATACTTCAAAAACTCGAAGAATCATTTTACTTGCCCGTTAAAACATGGCCATGCTTTTCTCAGATGACGTCCTATCATAGTTCTACTGATAATTTTTTGTCATCTTTTTCTGTCATGAAATTGTGGATGGAAATAAAGCTGTGTCAGGATCCAATGGCCATCAGAGGCTGGGCCCAGCTGGCCTTGCGTTGCACTATGCAAATGTGATCAATCAGATAGACACCATTGTAAGTTGTTTTCTTTCATCTGATACCACCGAATTTTTTGACTTGTTTTTTAAGTCATATTTTTTGGGTGTATTTTTAACTATGCTATTACAACTTAGTCTATCTGTGTCAATTATGAAATGTTCTTGTCTAAATCATCTGGCATTAAAATCCTTTATAATTTTGTGTTGAGGTTAAGGAAAGATATATATCTCAAATGTTTTGAAGTCAACTAGGATATGAAGATGAAATTGTGAGCAATTGTATTAATATTTATGTGATGGAAATAGATTTTTTCTCATCCTACCATATTAGAAGTAGATTTTTTATAGAATTTATGAAGCATTTTGTTGAATTTTTTACTACGTAAGGTCTCGTAAAGTCCGTAGGCTCATGCAACTTGGGAGAGAACTTATTTTGGGAGAACTGTTGAGGAAAGAAGGAATATAATGGATGTCCGCCTCCCTCAAACCTTAATTCTTAACCTTATACAAGAGATTGAACAAGAGAGAAGAAAATGAGAGAGGGAAGTGGCATCCGGGAGAGAGAAGTAGATGGATGGATCGAGCCTCCTTAAGATAGGAGGTGGCTGAATTTATATATCCTTCTTCCCTCTGGTTTCTTTTTCCCCCTTTTTCTCAACAGAGGGAGAAACAAGATATAGGCTATATGATATAAGATCCGTCTACGATGTACTTGTGAGAAGATCACCACATGTCTATGAGATAGTTTTTAAATAGATGCTGACACCTTTTTGTCGTTGAATGATGTCTTTCACGTGGATGATTTACGAATCTCAAGGAGTGATTATGGAGGGCTTAGTAGGTCACTTCGACAAGTGAGCTTTGTGGATTACTTTGTTAAGCGAGCTTGACAAGTCACTTAAGAAATTGAGCTCGGCAGATTGCTCTGTCTAGCGAGCTCGATAGAGAACTTCAGCGAACAAGCTCGATAGGTTACTTCAGCAAGAGAGCTTGGTGGGTGGAGGTAATCTTGGTCTTTTGCTGTAAAAAAAATTGTGCCTTCTAGGCCCATGAAGTCTGCTAATGTATGTTTCGGCCAATGGGAGCTACTTATGAGTATACACATTTGTAGCTCTAGAGGTGTCTGTTAGGTAGAGCATTTGGCATATTGGATTTGAAATGTTCAAAAGAATGTTTGATATGTTTATTCTTTTTTTATTTATATTTTTTTAAAATTAGATTTTGCTTTGCAAATATATTTTCATTTTATTTTTGAGTCGGTGTACTTGTACCAAGCATAAGCATGAGCATGTGTGTGCATGCACATATGCATATGTGTGTACACATTCATTGTTCATGAAGTATATATTTTTTAGCCTCTCAAAAGTTTTCATGCTCTTAAAATAATATTGTATTATACGGACTATATGTTTCTTTCATGTATTTAGGAGAAAAGAATCTAGATTAATGCTGCTCTTTTTTTTAATGATATTATTGTTCGTTAAAAATGGTATTTGAAACTAATAAAATTTGGGTAGGTGGATCATTCTAAGTTCAATACATTGTCTTATACACAATTAATTAAAACATAAAGGAAATAGGCTAATTTGAGGATTGTATCTCTGCAGAAATTTCATGCTACTCTTTTTTTTTAATGATATTGTTGTTTGTTAGAAATGGTATTTGATACTAATAAAATTTGGGTAGGTGAATTATTCTAAGTTCAATACATTGTCTTATACACAATTAATCAAGTTGATTAAAAATAATTCTTTTAGGAATGAAAAAGGGAAGGAGGGTGGGAGACTTGAGGATACCATTATATATATATATATATATATATATATCTTTTTCGTTTTTTAATAAATTAGCCCTTGGGCCTTTTCATAAAATATATATATTAAAAAAGCCCAAGGGCTAATATATTAGAAAGGAGTGGTACAAAAATGGTTTGATGAGAGGGCCAAGGTAGGAACCCAAACTACCAGGTATACAACTCACACCAAAATCTTAAGAAAAAAAAGTACATATATACCCAAAACCATAATTATAAACTAGGCATATAATCTCTACCCTAAAATCTCCAAACAGAGCAAAATTCACAAGCCGTTTGGAAGTAGCAGTTGGATCGGTGAGAGCTATAAATGCCAAACAGATGAAGAAAATACTTGTTGAGATCTTCAAACTCTAATAGTGAGTCTTATTCCTATGTAAAATTCACAATCCGTTTCTGTTGGGTCACCCCCCAGATGCGTGTGTAGGCTGGCCAAAAGTCGACGTCGCAAACCAAAACAGATGTAAGATATACTTGTTGCATCAAGGACTTGAAGAAAGGGAGAATGAAGATATTTAGCCCTTGGGCTTTTTAATATATATATATATATTAGTGATTCTCCATTTTTTGGCACATGTAAAAGGCATACTTGGCTGCTCGATCCAACATTACGGCCAAATATTGAGCCTAGCTGCTTATGGGCTTTTGGTATCATTACTTGAACCCTTTGATTAGGTGTAGGGGTCACTTGAAGTAAATTCTACCTTTTAGCAGTCTTTCTTCTTTTCAAGTAGAAGATAGCAGATGTTAGTAGTGTAATAAAATGGATGTCTAAAAAAAACAAATACTTTTCATTATATAAAAAATCTTTTGTTGGAAACTAGAGAAGAAACTTCAATCTGATTTCTTAATTATAATTGAGTTGACATTTATGTTTCTTCGGTGATTAGTTTTCTAGTGGTTCATTCGACATTTTAAATGCTACAATGTAATAGCGCACAATATGAAAGAGCTCCTATGTCAACCCCTTTAAGAATGGTGGTGGGTCTGGCTTGATGACCCTTCTTTCATTCTTAACTCTTATTATTATTATATTCCATCTTTACAAATCTATCCATGTGATATATATAGCCTACGATAAATATTTTCACAATTCAAACATATGATATATATAGTTTATATTGAAATTTTATATTTTAGATTAGGTGATAGGTTGTATATTTTAGATTAGGTGATAGGTTGTGTTAAGGTTATTAGTACTTCCAATAGATATTTCTTGGGCACTTCCTTTAATCAGATTTAGTAGTCAAATCACTCAATTAGTTTGCTTTTTTGGTGATTCTACCATTAGGATAGACCTTAGTGGTGGTTCCAAACTTTCTTTTATCTTGAGAATTTTTTTCTATCTTAGTTTATAACCTTGACAGGAGGCTTGCTTCAATAGTTTTTAGATTGAATTAGATAGCATGCATAGTTGGAAGGATAAAACAAGTGATAGGGACAGGTATAGAGGTCGAGGATGAAGGAAGAAAGAGAGAGATATTCAGATAGAGCAGTTGGGAGGGAGGGAGGGAGGGAGGGAGCTTTTAGCATTCATTTAGATAAAAGTTGTTTTGATCATATCTAATACAATGCCTTTTAATTGAGGGTATTTTTGCATTTCAATTAATTAGATGATGGAGAACTGAACTTTGTTGCCGTTAAGATCCACATAAGAGTATCATGCTCCTAGGCTGACGGAGGGATCAATGGAGGCTTTAGGTCTATAGATTTGTATTAATCAAGATCTTAATTGAATTATCAAGTATATACCAATATGATATTGGATACCTTGGGTTAAGAGCTTCCAAATTATGTATAGCATGTGATGTAGAAAACTTTCAACAAACTCGTAACATTTGCAAGGCTTAATATATAATCCAAAAAAAAAATTACTAATCATTACCCTCGATGAAAATTGAATAAGCTATGGAATCCAGTTAAAAGAATAGATCCATGACAAGATTTAATTATCACAAAATCACACATGTGAATGAATTTTTATATAATCAAAAGAATTTTAGGCAATGGCTAATTTGACTGTGTGCTCAACTAATAACAAGAAAATGAGGAGAAAATAAGGAATAAAATGGTGAAAGTCACCATAAAAATAACATTTCTATGAATGTTATATCTTGCACTTGCCTGAGAATTTAAACTCTATAAGTACGATTTACACATTTAAAGAAAAAATTTACTTAACATAGAAATATTTTATTTATATTTCTTAGTTGTCTATTTAGAATTTTTAACAGAAACAAGTAAAATCTAAGGAAGAAACTACCAAAGAGGAGGAACCAAACAAAATGTTTCTGGAGGAATAAAAACAAGTGTAGAATATATTGATAGAGCTGAAACTACTAAACTCTCTACTATAGTCACTATTCTTGTGATACTTTTCAAATCATAAGAAAAAATTAAAGTAGAGTTAATTTATAAAATTTCTAATAGCCATCAAGTAACAATGTACTTGAAAGCGCCAGAAGGAGTGGGTAAGCATTGGATTTTTTGCATCATATGGCCTAAGATCAATGTTGATGGTAATATAACTTGGATTGTTAAATTTATGTTATGATGTTACTAATGAGACACGCTTCACCAAGTTTGATGTGCGTGGGACTATGCAGGAATCTTGATGTGATTGAGTGATGGAGGACTAGGAAAGCTTTTGTCCTATTTAAATGGCTTGTACAAAGCTCATTTGAGCCTGAATTATGAAATTCATGATAATAATATTGTGGTTAATTAGGAGCTATTTTTAATACTACAACCTTGCGACCATGGACCTCATGTTTCATGCTTTGATTATCTCTGTGTAACTTCTAAACAACATTGTTTCTTTTAGCCCCTACATAACTTAGTTTTATTAAAACTCTTGTTGGCTTATCAATGAGCAATGCTGAAGCACATCTAAGAGTTTTGGGATAAATTTGGCTGTTCTATTCAAATCACCATTAGAACTAATTCCAATGCCATGATAGATTTGTTGGTTAAGTCTTCATATGCACTAATCCATGAGGAAGTGCATGCTTAGTGCATAATTAGTGTGCTAATATTGGACCCCTAGAGAAATATTTGGGCGGTTCAACGCATGTATGATTTGTTTCGAGTTTGGGTTAACTAAAGTGACAACAAAATCAGGTTTTATTCATAGTAGCTTAAAAAAAATAGCCTGACATATTTTACTAGATTTAAAAAAATAGTTAAAAACTCATTAAATTATTATTCATGTTGTTTTTATTTGATTTCCATGTCCAAATTGGATTATTGTGTTCATTTTGGGCCAAATAGACACTAATCCAACAACACAGTTTAAGCATTTATCACGTTGTCTTGGCATAGGGGTTTGGGTTGAGATTTTTAACTTGGTTAATTACTAGATTGAGTCATTTTTTTAGTTGGTTCTGAATTTCACTTGTTAGAAGCACAAGCTCGCCTCATAGGTTTTACTAATCCAAATTAGTTCAATTTTTTTATGCAATATGTTATTGATGTGCTATACGCAAACGTATGAAAAAAAAAAGTGAACACAATACAAAGATGTTCAAATATTTATGCGATCAAATTTCAACGAAGCCTTTGTCTACAGGAGAGGAGAAGATTAATGCCTTGTCAATTAAGGCATAAAAGCTATAAGTAATGAAAAACTACTCCCCAGTCTTTTTAAAGTCTAAGTACTCCCTCCCTCAAAGAAGAAATCCCAAATAATCTTTCAAATTAGATTATGAAACCATAGCTATTGAGATGATATGTTGATGAGAAATCTAAATCGCTTGCAAACCTTATTAGAATCCTCCATATATAAAACTGTCCAAGCCTTCATGCATCCCAAGCATTTTGAGTCTTGAACAAAGACATAATTGTTTAAAAGTCTTGGGATTGTTGTATGCATGCAAACCAAGAAAATAGTCCATGTGTGGTATACCAAACAAGAATGGGGCTTAATTCTAGGTATCTTAATTTTCTATCCTCAATGCACGATCTCAATTGAAATTGAAACCATACCATTAAATATGGAACCAAATTGAATCGAACCAATTATATTGATTCCATTTTGCTTTGGATTTTTGTTTTGATAAAATAAGTCTTTGCTCAACAACAAGTCTTTATTCCACTAAGTGGAGTTGGCTACATGAATCCTATATTTCCTTTGCGTCCTATTGAGTGTCACACTCATTTAATTATAATAGATTAAGATCTTTTTTTATACAATATGTCCAAGTCTTTTTAGGTCTACCTCTGCCTTTCGTAACATAAGTTGAATCTAAAACATCTATTCTCCTAACCGAATCATCAGATGGTCGACGTTTAATGTGACCAAATCATCTAAGATGACTCTTTCTAATCTCATTAACCACTAGAGCTAAACCAACTTATCATGAATATATTCATTTCACATTTTGCTCATGTGTATGATACCTAAATAATAAATGAGGGAAAATTACTTTCTATTCACTAAGCATTCCATCATGAGATGGAATACCAAAATATAAAAATAAATAGATGAATCGTGATTGATGACTAGGATCTATTGATGAAATAGATTGATGGTTGAGTTGTTTTGGTGGAGATTACAACCCAAAACTATATAGTTATTTGCTAAATCGATTTGGTTTGGCTTGATGAAAACTCAAACATTAACTAAATCATAGATAACTAGTTTAGTTAAAATCTCAAATCTAGACCAAACTTGAGGTTTTTAATGGGCTTGGCTTGATTTTTCAGTTTGTCATAGTATATAGAGCCACCACATACGAATAGTGTACAAAATGCATACATGATTTTTTTTATCTGTCCATGATTATCACTTTCATACTATACATCTTCCCTCGGCTCATTCATTGACTAGTTTATTTCCTAGATTTTTGTTATTGTTTATGATAAAAATTTTGAGGCAACCGATTATACTGTTTGTTTCAACAGAATGATTTGGCCTTGAGCTTTTATCTGTTGAAGTCACCGCTCTTGCATTTTTCATCTCTTATAATTCCTCGAAACAATATGTTCATGAGATTTGATTAAGAGCTCAGGGTTATTTTAGGTATCCCGATCCGGTTCTGTTCCACCAAGCACGAGAGATGCATTGTACCAAAACTTGCCACCAGCAATAAAATCTACACTACGCTGGAGACTGCAAGAATTTCAACTCAATGAAAAGGTACAAAATATTATGAAGCTAGAATTTGTGTTTTTCTTTTGGGATTTTTGAACCAGCATCATATCTTGAGGTGGGAAATAATCTACCAACTATGATGATCATTTTGGCTCAACTAAAATTATTTGTATGAAACACTGAGTGTCTTTTTAACTCAATTTTTTCCACGTTTTAATTTCAGCCGCCTGTTTCCCAAATCAAGGCTGAAATGGAGAAAACATTGCAGTGGCTGGCCCCAATGGCCAACAACACCACCAAGTGAGACACTTTTGGTTATCTTACAAAGCATACAAGCTTCTTTCGTTCATGTAAAATAACAATGAAACTTGGGATGGCCCACATTTTATTTAAATTATTTTATTCACGCATACCACATAATTTTTATGTATTTACATATTTAATATATAAACTTTACTTTTTACATTTATACCAGCCAAATATTTCATATCACATCAAATTAGCACTATTTTATCTTTTAAAATGTGAAATACACCTTTTTCATGCATTGTTAATTTGGCAATATGTAAAAATTGGTCTTTAGGTGCTAGGTATATAAATACATATGAATTAAATAGTATGTATGTAAATCTTCCTACATATTAATACTTTTGCCGCACTCATCTTCTACTTGCATAGAAACAGCACCAAGTAGCTCCTCTGTTTTTTCTTTAATTCTTTTAATTAACAAACATAGCAGCTCTGCAGTTTACATACATAGCATAGCACACAATTCTTATGTATTTGCATATTTATATTAGTGGCAATAGTACTATTTTTTATGTGATATTAAAGATTTGAGTGTTATGTGTCTAAATACGAAGTTCAGGTGCGAGATATGTAAATACATAATAATTGGGTGATACTTATGTAAGTTTCCCTTTATATTAATAATTTCACTAACTGTTATCATCTGCTGTGTAATGAATCAGAGCACACCACGGCTTCGGCTGGGTTGGAGAATGGGCGTGCATAGGGTAACTAATATTCAAATTTCTTAATTTTTTTTCGCCCTTATTCTCTTTCGTTAATGGAATTCATTCAAGCCCATCTTATTGTAGAACGGAGGCGGGTCATAAACCACTAGCTTACAGCAACTCAACAAGAATAGAGACTCTCTATCATGCCAAGAAGGAGAAGACCGAAGCCTACATATTAGACTTAATAGTTCTCCTCCATCACTTTATTAGCCTATTGAGACCCGGAAGATGCTTCTCCCTCGCTCGATCTCCCGTTAAATCTCTGATCCGCTTTCCCTCGCAGAAGATCTCGACATCCGCTCCGTTGCTTTCAGTCAAACTTCATCCCACCGCCACTTCCTCTTCATTGCTCACAATAGAAGACCAAGAGATCCTGAGAGGGCTGAAGTTCCACGAGATTTCACCGGGTATTAGCAAAAGCCAAGAGTTTGAGATCAGGCGGCCGAGGCTGAGCAAGTACCATAGACTGAGCAAGAGCAGCAACCATTCTCCGATAGCCGAGAGCAAGCACGAATTGAGGAAGATGCCATTGTTTCCCGTCATTGATTTTGACGTCGATCTTAACATGAGTTTGGATGTGATTGATAGAGTGGATGGACTATCATGAAATTATGAAAAGACAAGGGAAATTTACATGAGCTGCACACACTTTGTATGTACTTACATGTCTCACGCCTAAACTTTCATATTTACAGGCATGCCACTTCGGTGATTTTAGCTTGAAAATGTGTATTTAACTTTGAAAAAGTGATAATAGTGCCATTTTTTGAGTGATTTGTGTAAATATGATGTATAGGTGTGAGACATGCAGATGCATAAGAATTGTGTGCTATGTAAAATTTGATTTGGACAATTTTGTTGTTATTGGATCAATTTTGATATGAGTGTAATACACTTGTTAATTGATTAATCGTTTATTACGCTCTCAAAATAAATTTAATGATGATATAATTTATCTGATGAAAATTTGATAAGAATATTTTGACTCAGATGTTCTCCATTGTTAATGAGTGCCGTTCAACCCTGGGAATACCCTTCTTTTGTGCTGTGTATTGGGTGTGATTTCCAGGTTTTGGTTCCCAGCGGAGTTGGGATGTGATTTGTATGGATCAATTGTTCCCAGAATTTGGAGCAAAGGCTAATTTGCCCAAATATATGATTTGCAGGATATTTTTATAAGTATATGCAGGCATTTGAATGGCTGGAGCTTGACTCAAGTAAGCAGAAATGTTTGATGTTTCATTGAAATGCTAAGCTATTTTTGTTTCAATGTTCTTGTCTATTAAGGTGCACTTTGGAAAATCTATGTCTGGGAGTTTTATTTGTGTTTCGCTTGATAAATGTTGAAATTTTATATCATTTATTTATACTGTATTTTTTTTTTAAAAAAAATGTATATAAGAGATTTGGGTGGTATAAATATAAAAATTGAAGTTTAGCTGATAGATATGTAAATATATAGGAATTAAAAAAATCAAAGTTATGGACACTTGTTTAGTCCCACATAGGTGGGGAGTTTACATGCACTCTTAGGAGGGTTTTAAATGCAAGAAATTCTTCTTTTGCATGCTAGACATGTGGCTTGGCCCCCATGAGAGTGATGGTCGTTGGACTTTAACTTGAGTCGAACATGAAGTTAATTTGAGCAAATAAATTTAAATTGAGCTGAACACAAACATATTTCGTACAAATAATTTGGAACATGAGCTAAACATAATAAAAAAAGAAAAGAGATAAAATCATTGATCACACACGAAAAAGTTTTGGGCTTTGCTCAAACTTGCCTTATTTACACCCCTAATTATGGACAACCAACAAAAAACATGACTTAAGTGGAAAATTGGTTTATTATTTTAGACTTTACATTAGAAAATTTTTTAAGAAAAGGTATAAAAAAGAATAACAAAATTTGGTTATCCTAAAAATTCTTTTGAAAAACTCTTACATTTGCAAATAAATACATTTTTTTTTGTAGGGTTAGCACTTGAGGCAGTTATTTTGAATATTTTATTCTGTTTCTAATACATATGTTATGCATTCAAACACAATAGATAAATATAAATCATATCAGTTGAAGCCTAATTCAAGCACAATATATAAATGTGCTTCATATATATTGAAGTCTGAGTCTTCCATTTTTTGCTTCTGTTGCTGACATTTTTTTAGGAAAATGTTGTGATTCACCTGGACTTCTAAAGATTACCAATTGAGTGATGTAAAAATGAAAAAAAAAACTGATAACAAAGAAGTGATATTTCTTCTTAAGGTTTTGGCAATCACCAGCTTGTCGTATAGACCATAGTTAAAAGTGATAATAGTACTTGGTTGTGTCTTAGATGGTTACTTCACGAGCATAAGTTAGTAATAGAAGTTGTAAAAATAAACTATAGAAGTTATGAGTCACATAGGATGTAGTTGGTCACATAGGATTTAGGTTATGGTACCCTAAACCCTAAACCTTAAACTCTAGTTGGTCACATTGGTTGTAGTATTGAATTGTGATAGCGTTAATAGGTCACAAAGTTCGAAGTTGAGAGCTATATGAGTTGTGGGTCGCGTGGGCCATAGATGGTCATGGAAGCCATAATGGCGAACCGCGAAGATGTTTGTAGGTTGTAGAGGTAGGAGTCGGGAGCTACACGAGCTGTAAGCTACGTAGGCCATAATTAGTCACATGGGTCGTAGTGGTGAGTTGTGATGACATATGGAGGCTAAAAAGACCTGAGTCAAAAGCTACACGAGCAACAAATCACATAGGTTGTATTTGGTTACATTGGTCGTATTGATGAGCTGCGATGATGTTCGTTGGCCACTTGGTTGGATTCGGGAGTGGTATGAGTTGTGAGCCACCCATCCATAATTGGTCACATAGGCTGTAGTGATGAGCTATGATAATATTTGAAGGCTGCAGAAATAGATTTGAGAGCTGGATAAGCTGTGATATCTTATGTAAACCATAGAGGCTGGAGTTGGAAGTTACATAAATGTGATAACCTTCGTAGGTCACAGAAGATGGAGTTGAAAGTTACATTAGCTGTAATAAAGTTTGTAAGCCACAAAGGTCAGAGTTACGAGCTGCATGAGCTGAGATGACGATAGAGGATGGAGTTGAGAGGTGCTTGAGATGATATAACATTCGTAAGCCACTAGGGCCAAAGTTGGGAGCTACACGAGCTATGCTAATGTCTATAGGTTTCTAAGGATAGAGTTGGGAGTTGCTTGATTTGTGAACTATGTAGGATTTAATTGGTCACATAGATCGAAGTCGTAACCAACAATAACATTTGTAGGCTGTGGAGGTCAGAGATTGGGACTGCATGGGTTGTGGATCACATAGGCCATAGTTGAGCACGTAGGCCATAGTCTGGAACAACACCTGTAGGTCACAGAGGCTGGAGTTGGGGGCTGCATGAGCCATGAGCTATAAATTTTATAGTTGGTCAGATGAGTCATAATAGTGTAAGTTGGCTGCAAAGACAGTGGTATGGAGCCGCAGTTGTAATGAACCACGCAGGTCATAGACCATAATGGGGAACTATGAGGAGAGAAGTTTAGGAGTACTAAGGGGGTCATAGTATGTGGGGTGTGTTGTTACAACTTCTTTAGGATGTGTTATTACACTATCTTCATGATGCATTGTTACACCATATTTGGGATGTGTTGTTTTACCATCTTTAGAGTGCATACTGCTTCGTTGGGAGCTTTGTTGTTTTGCAAAATATGTTGAGATGCCGCAACACATGTTGTGATTCCATAAGGGGCTTCATTGAGAGGAGCAATTGGTGATTGATCGTGGTCGATGACAGTCGTTGAGCGGTAGTCTACAGTTGTTCGTGACTGCAGTAGTTTGCGGTGTTAACTGTATCTTTCGTGTAGAACACTTGGGTTCTACTCCTCCAAGTTCTGATCTTCCTCTAGTTCAATGTCTAGCTCCCAGAACCTGGTCCTCTCTCAAGAAGGGGGAATACTCTATTTACAGAGTATGAGAAAGTCCTCTCTACAAATAAGAAAGAAATTCATACCACTTTATCAGATAGACTGGGGAGAATCCCTTAATCATATGACGTTTGGCGAACATTCGAGTGCTTTAATAATTTCAAAATTGAGCGATCTTGAGCTCATTGGATTTGTCCCGCTAAGACGCTCAATTTGACTATAAATTTGTCAGATTTGAAATCAATTCAACCATTCAATTATGCACTGAAATCTTCCAAAAGTGATTTATCGGTTTAATTTGGGCTTGATTTAATTCATGTTGGATCAATATTGGTATGATTGGGTTCGTCTCATCGAGCATGTCAATTTGATTATAATTTTGCTAAAATAAGAGTTCTAAATAATTTTTAATTGAAAATTAAACATTTTTCGCTAAAAAATTACCTCGATATTAGTGTTAGACGGTGAAAATTTGTTGATCTCGTATCATGTATATATATTACTTATTATGAAATTTAAGATCAAAATAATTCCAAACTCTTAACATTAAAATAAATTTGCCTTGTACAAAAGTGAAGTAGGATGATCGCACAATATTATTCTTTGAACATTTGAGTCATATATTTTGATGAGAATACATCATGTCGCCTTGAGATTGACTTATATGGACTTATGCATCAATCCATCAGATTTTAATATAGGCTTTATTTTAAAACAGCAGTTGAACATGTGAAAATGAACCTTTAATAATAATTATAATAATAATAATAATTATTATAATAATAATAATAATAATATTATTATTATTATTATTTAATTATTCATAACTTATTATTGCAATTGCACCAGTTGGATTAAAACCACAGTGAATTAAGGGTGCTGTTAGCATGGTCAATTAAAATCACTTCATTATTTTCTTTTTTAAAAACAACAAAGAAAGAAGAGGTCAACGGAAGAAGAAGCGACATGAAAATTAAGAGCTTAAAGTCAACCAAAGAGAAATATAAATTGACTACAAATAAAGTCAACATCCGTTGAACCGGCAACCTGCCGGCATGCCTAATAGCAAGCATGGTTTACCTGAGCTTGGCTTACCAGAAAAAGTCAACAAAAAACGGTGGAAAATGCAGTCCTTGTTGATCATAATTAAAGTTAGCAGAAGCAAAGATGACAAAATGTCATCATCAAGGGGAATGCAACCTCTCTTATCAGAAAAATTATTTCATATAGATAGCATTTGCAGAGATGCATATGCTATTCGATATCGACTGTCGATCAGAGCAAATGTGTATTTCGGTGGGTCTCATTTTTCATTTTTTTTTAAACTTGATCGACGGTCGAGATCGGACAGCGTATGCATCTCTGCGGAGTATGCATCTCTGCATACGGTGTCCGTATGGAATAATTTTTCATGTAATATAAGGTAATAATTGTACTCACTTAACTGAGAACACAGGTTAATGAATTAAAATTGGCAAAGAATAATGCGAGTTTAATGTATTTTCTTGATTAGAAGATGGGCTTTGAGCAAAGTGGCTTCAAAGATATGCTTTCGATTCATAAAAATAACTTACTCATAGTTGCATAAAACTGCAGTAATAAACTTTTTGAACTTCCGTATTAGAGGAGCCTATAAATTCAACACACAGTTCTTGGTTTCTTAGCCGTAAAATTGAATGCAATTTGGTAAAAGCAAGTTCTGTAGAAATACAATTTAATAACATGCATAGAGGAATTAAGCCATATGGGAGCGCATTGAGGAGAAAAATACTGTCAACTATATCCTTACCAGAAATAAAAGATGCTAGAGTAGGATGTGTTGAGAAATTAGGGCGAAGAAACATAGGAATCGACACAAATTCAGAAGAACACACAGAGATTTAACGAGGTTCGACAAAGATGCCTACGTCCTCGGGAGCAGAGCGGCGAATTCCTTTCAATATTCAGAAAAGAGATTACAGAATTTAGGATTACACCTAGGGTTACATACAGACC